ATTCTACAGGAATGAGTTTTCAATCTAGATGATTCAAAAGTGCAGACCTCCAGTGTCTTCCTAATATCGGAAGGAAGAGACCCATACAGACCCACAGAGATGCAGAGACTCATATAGACCCACAGAAACCCATAGAGACACATACTCATATGTATGTTGAACTTCTTTTGCACCATACGTAGCCAACCGTGTTAACCGGAGGTGCGGGCAAGGACAAACAAACTAAGCACAGCACGGTTCTTTTTCTTGTTATTATTAAAAAAATTTCGTATAGCGGGAGGGAAAAGCGACAGCGTTGAGAAGCTTATACGTCATCGGAACGGAACGGGAAGAAAAAACCGTTGACGTGCACACGTCAGTACGTCGCCGGAATGGTAAAGGGTTAGATTGTTGCGCTGGATCGGACCCCAAAAAAATCAAATTGTAGGTCGGATCATTACGTGACATCAACTCGAAAGAAAAAAAAAAATCGATGACCGAATCGTACTATCCTGGCCTCGTGGTGTGACGCAGGTCGGCTGGGAGATGCAGAACGTGGTGAGGGTCTTGAAGCAGGACCCGAGTGGCGTGGAGGTCACCCTCAAGACTCACCCTCCCTTCGCCGGCGAGCCGCAACCGCCGCAACCGGCAACCGCCACCGCCGATCAACAGCACGCGACCTCCGACCCGGCCGCCCCCGCCGCCGTGACCTCCGACCCGGCGGCGTGTCCACACAAGGGCCAGAGGATCAGAAGACAAAAGCCGTTGGATCGCCATGCACGTACCGTTGTTCCCGCTCGTTGATGTGGGGTGTGTGTCTTCGTGCGCCGTGGGGGTGGCTGCGTGCATTCTGTCGATGGATTGGGTGGGGGTGGTGGTGGTGGTGGTGGAGTAGTTGATAAGCGGCATCTCTATGGGGCCCTTTTCTGTCAGTGTTAAGATGATGAACAATGATACACGTGACCAGTCGCCGAGAACAAGTCATGAAGTCTGCATTAACCACACACGTTTTGACATATGCAAGCATTTATGCTGAACTTCTTTTTGCGCCGTACGTAGCCAACCGTGCTAGTCCGGTTTTTAGGGGTCTTTTTGTTTTTGTTTTCCGAGGGCCACCGTGACCCACCCATTCCGGACAGCCACACGCAGAAGGTTGTTGACACGATGCAAGGAAAGCCGATCCCCGTGCTCGTATCGTCGAAAAGACAAAGGCCAGTGTCCGGTGGTCAGGCAAAGACGTGCGTCAGTGCGACAGTCCCAGCGGTTTATGGCGCAGACATTTCAGCCGTTGACTGGAGGATCGCTGTTGTTGTGGCTCAGAGGTCCGGTGACAATAAAGCGACGACATCTGTGGAGCTGCTAGAGTGGATTGAGGAGGATTGAGACAACGGCATCTCCCGGGGCGCGGATTAAAACCTTGGGACATCGATGATGATGATGATGGTGGTGATGATGATGAAGATAATCACGATGATGGTGACGATAATAATGATGGAGCTAACGATGGTGATAATGATGGTAATAACAATGGTGACGACGATGATGATAGACCAACTATACCCGAACATCCAGTGGACCACGTAGACAAATAACCATCAAGGCCACTCGTTTCTTTCCATGTCACGACTTAGACATTTCCACTACCCGCTGTGTGGGTGTCTGCGTGTACAGTCTTTCTGAAGTGGCTGGGTGGGTCAGAGGTCAGATCACATGATCTGGCACTGCCTGGATCCTGGGTTCGACTCCAGGTGATTAAAAACCATCGTTTCTAAATGCAGCGTGTTAACAGTTTCGTCCCGGTTTTGTGTTTAAGTTTAGACTTGTTGCACGGATGACTCTCCCGTGTAGCCAGTTTCCCCAGCTCATTAACAAGGGAGAGCCACGGCACGTGATCGCAGCAGCGGTGTTAAGTTTGTTGTCCTTCCCCCGCACCTCCAATTAGCACGGTTGGCGACGTGCAGTGTGAAAGAAGTTCAGGGAGTGTAAGTATAATTGTGTCATTTGTAAATGTTGGGGTCCACTCTCCAACACACCGGTGTCCTGTACAAGTAACTAATTGGCACGCTTCGTTTACGTGACAAACCTTACTGATTGGCTGTGTCGGGTGGTGGTGGTGGTGGGTTTAACGACACCTTTATATTAACGTGTTCCAACCCAAAAACCTCTAATGGATAATATCGGTCGTGAAAGCCTACGTATAAATGGTGTTCTCTGCTTAGTTTGCCTTAATTTCAATTATGAAATATATCGTTTTACTGTCATGCGGTGAACTTGACTCTCGGTGGCCGAGCAGGCCGGAAGGTACTCGCTGCTCTCTCCTATGTGGACCAGAGGTCACTGGACTGGATCTCAGAATTAGCTTTGTGGTATCCGCTTACCCCGTGGGCCATTCTGTAACACGAAACGAGCGCGCTGCCCTTGGAGGGTGTCGCGATGGGATAATCTTTTTTTTTTGTCGTTGACGTGATCGCCGATAAGCGCTGGTTTGGATAAAATTTGGGGGAGAATAATTGTCGTGAAAAAAGGGGGGTGGCTGCTTTATGTTGGCAAATATAAGGAGGAAGCAATTGCTCACTTCCCATTCATAATATTTCAACTGCACCTGCTTGGTAAAAAAATGAATACGGATGTGCAAGTACTTGCCCTCGTCTTGAGTGCGTTACGTTTTTCAGGGTTGGTATGATTTACGACGTGTATATTTTCCACCAACAGATGGGAAGGGAGATCGGAACGAGATGCACACACCCCTGTAAGGAAGGAATGGGGGCTGGGGTGGGCTGGGATGTGTGCGTCGTTTTTACACTCCTGTATACGTTCAGCGATCCTGCTTTCTCGTACCATGTGAGCCGTTGTTTATAAATAAGCGATAGCACGAGTCCACGCGCCTAGACAGGGCCACCCAACCACGGCGCCACCGTTAACCTCTTTAAATAAGTCGCCCCTTCTTAAACCTTAAATTTTTGTGTTTTTAATATATATTAAAAAAATTCCTCTGTGCTCATCGTTGCCGCGCGTCCACGTGACGATGAAGTCCGCCTGTGGCGCTGTCGGAGCGGCGCGACACTCCGTGTGAGACGGGAACGGCTCGCGGAAGCGGACACCGCGGAGCAAGCTCTGAGATGCCCTCTTCAAGTGCCCTCTGCGACGCAAAGTCGAGGCAATTCACACCCCTGGTGTGCCGTCGGGAGTCGTTGATCATCACACGAGCGGCGGTCAAACTGATGTTTTAATTAATTTAGCTGCGGTTTTTATTGAGTGCAAGGAAACCGCTACACTTGGGAGCGCTCTTTAGTCGCGACTCAGTCTATGTAATTAGAGGGGTCTCTGTAAGTCTGTGGGTCTCCATGTAGGTCCAGTGGTTTCTGTGTGAATCTATGTAAGTTGTTGGTGTCTGGGCTGAGACCATCAGCATGCTATGCTTGAGAAACCCGGTGTAATCGCGGTTTGCTGGCTGAGGCCTGGATTCGAACCCAGGATCTCAGCGGTGCCGGCTCCCAGAGCTCTGACCTCAGCCACCCGGCCACCTCAGCACCGCGCTGTGTTTTTTTGTCCACGATGTTTTGTTTTTTTTGTCTTGGGCTGCTTGGGTCAGATCGCGTGAACGATAACGTGCCGTAAACGCACCTCCACCCGACACAGCCGACCCACGATCTCGACGCCGACTGTCGCGCGACAAGCACAGGTCACAGACACACGGGTGGCGAAATTTTCACGTTCTGTTCACGTGACAAAAACCTGCGCTAATTCGCCTTGTCGGGTGGAGGTTGGTTTACGACACACACCCCCCCCCCAAAAACAAAAAAACTTAGCGTGAACAACATTGGTCGCGGAAGCCCTCGAGTAAAATTGTGGATCACGAGCGTGTCGTTTGTCGGCCGGCCGGCCCCGGCTGGCGTGTGTCCGCTGCCACGTTGCTGTGTCCCCGCAGGCCAAGGTGAAGGTCGTGGTCGATCCCGCTCACCACGCGCAGCCCGAGGTGGGGGGCGGAGGGGGGCGGGACGGCGACGCCACACCCGTGGCCGCTCTCCCGCCGCCGCTGCCGCGTCTCCCTCCGTGCTCGTAAGTGCGAGCGCCTCCCCTGCGGCAACCAAGTAAAAAGTGCGTTTGGGAACGGTTTTAAAATGAATAGTTAAACAGACGCTTAGAGTTTGTGGGTTCAAATGCGGGCCATTTGCCTGTAGTAAAACTTAGCAACGCTTGCCGTATATATTCGGAGCTTGCATGTCTCTCCCCCGTGGTCACGTGGATTTTTCTCCGGGTTTTTCCCCTCCCACGTTTAGAATCAGCGTCACTCGTTAATGCTATTTTGCAGCTGCTGCTGTAAATTTGCACGCGACGATGATGATAAGCCACTGTCGTTGAACTTCCATTTGCGATAGCCATGTTGCTTCTGAAAAAAAGCTCTATAGCTCAGTGTGACCTGGTACAATGAAAAATACTTTATAGTTTTATAGTGAATCAATGATCTGAGCCCAGTTACGAATGGCGGGCGCAGGAGCAATGGCGCTGACGGAGACGGAGACCCACGGGTGGGGATGGCAGTGCGGGACGGCGACGTGGCAGTGACCACCGTCGCCGCTACCGTCACTGCCATCCCCACCGCCATCGTCGCAGCCATCCCCACCGTCACCGCCACCCCCACCGCCATCGTCACTGCTATCCCCACCGCCATCGTCGCTACCATCCCCACCGCCACCCCCACCGCCATCGTCGCTGCTATCTCCACCGCCATCGTCGCTGCCATCCCCACCGTCACCCCCACCGTCACCCCCACCGCCACCCCCACCGCCATCGTCGCTGCCATCCCCACCGCCACCCCCACCGCCATTGTCGCTGCCATCCCCACCGCCACCCCCACCGCCATTGTCGCTGCCATCCCCACCGCCACCCCCACCGCCATTGTCGCTGCCATCCCCACCGCCACCGCCTTCCCCACCGCCATCGTCGCTGCCACCGCCACTGTTGCTGCCACCGCCACCTCCACCAACACTGCCACCGCCACCGCCACCCCCACCGCCACCGTCACTGTCATCCCCACCACCACCCTCTCCCCCACCGCCAACCTCACCCCCACCGTCACCGCCACCGCCACCGCGGGGGTTCCTGCTCACCCGCCAAGTCCGCCGAGGGCCGACCGAAAGCGGTGCCGGCACAAGCGCGGCCGGAGTCGCTCGTTTAGCCGCGGCGCTGCGCCGGACGGAGCGTCTACCGGCGCCCGGGATGGAGACCGGGGAGGGGGCGTCGGCTGCGGAGGCGGCGGCGGTGGCGGTAGTGCCCGTGATCACGGTACGGTGAACGGCGGTGAATGGTGAAGGCTGGTGAAATGGTGGTATGGTGAATGCTGGTGAACTCTGGTGAAGGCTGGTGAATGGTGGCGAATGGTGGTTTTGTGAACTGGTACGGTGAACGATGGTAAATGATGGTTCGGTAGAACGATGGTGTATGATGGTGAACGACGGTGTTTTCTTGAATTATCTAATTGGCGATGATCGCTGCCCTACTGTGACAACTTGCCAGGACCCTCCTGAAACTGAGACATGAGACTCGATTAGCCCTTGTGCAAGAGCTGCCTAGCTGATTGGGCCTAACCAGCTGAGATAATAAAGTTTAAATGAAGCATTCCTGGGCAAGCTAGCGTAAACAAGGCAGCCCATGCAATCGCGAGTGAACTGTATTATTCGACAATAATTTTGGAGCTTCTGGTTGCAATGTGGACTACGCAGGCTGAAATGGCTTTGGGAAACATCCCACTTGGAATAAAATCAATTTCCATGTCGAGCGAGGTACAGTTTATCAGAGATGCAATCTAAAACGCGTGTCCCCGTGTCTATTCAGGCCTCAGCCACCACCAGTCACTGCCAGCTGACTTCAGGATGCCAGAGAACATTCTCGAACATGAAGGTACGTCTTCTGACAGAGTGGTCGCACCAGCAGCAGCACCCACTCTCCAAGACCATGGTACATGCAGAGCAAAGGAATAGCATGCCGAGATGTTAGCTACCTCGGCTGGTATACAGGAGATCGTGGGGGGTATCCCAACCCTGACGATGCATGCTGTATATTTGGAGTTTGCATGTTTTCCCCATGGTCGCGTTGATTTTTCTCCGATTCCTCTGGTTTTTCCCCCCCACATTAAGAATCAACGTGCGTTTAGAGTATTTTTGGCTGCTATAAATTTTCAAATTATGGTAAGCCACTTCATTGGGTTATCGCTTGTGGCCAGGTTGCTTCTGAAAAAGAGCTATACAGCTCAGTTGGGCCTTACCTGATAAAATGAAAAAAATAGCGTTTAGTTTAATCTTAACTAATTTATCAAGGCGCTTGACAAAGCTTACAAAAAACGAACGATACAGTACGGACAAACCATCTCCACGACTGACACGACACACAGAGGGCATTCATCCAGCAGTTCATTGACAAAGGGCTGTAAATATTCTAAGGTTCTTTCGGTAAAGTCACATAGAAGGGAAACAATAAAATAATAAAAATATAAAACAATAAAATTCTCACGACGTTTCGACTGCAACACAAGCAATCATAATCAGGTGTGAAAACCACAGCAAGAAAATTTGAAAAAAGTGGCGTTTTTTTTAACGTTAGCACCACGGAGAGCGATTTGGCAGTTTGTTCAGATTGACAAGTTCATCTATGTTCGGAAAATAGGAGGGGGAAGACGAAAATAATGGATGCGGTCTGAAAGCCACCATAAGCGTGAACAATCAATTAAGACCCGAAATGGTTTATCAAATCTTTCCAATGATTGCTAAGCCAGAATCCATCTTCTCGGTTGAAATTATACAGCTTACCAAAAATAGATAAAGTAGATACATCCCTTCTTCCATCATCTCTACTATCAACTCCCCCACCTACAAACTGGCTCGTTTTCTGTCTGAAATCCTGCGGCCTTTCACTGGAAAAACCACCTCTGCGGTACAAAATTCTACTCACCTGGTATCGACAATCATGGGTATTTCCCTGTCCCCAGATGACCTACTTGTCAGTTTTGATGTGGTTTCCTTATTCACCAAAGCTCCTGTGCCTGACACCATCGCAATCATTGAAGACGTGGTTCATCAAGGACGAAATATACTGAGCTACCCCCCCTGGTGAGACACTGCTTAACCAATACATACTTCACTTGGAATGGAACTTTCTGCAAGCAAACTGAGGACACCCCAATGGACTCCCCCTATCTCCGGTTGTAACCAACATTTTCATGGAGAAATTTGAGACTGACGCCATTCAGACTGCCACTCTGCGCCCAACCTTATGGAAGAGGTACGTGGATGACACTTTTGTCATCTGGCCACATGGCCGGCCTGCTCTAGACCAATTCCTCGACCACATCAATTCCATACACCAAGCCATCAGATTTACCATGGAAGTCGAAAAAGATGGCAAGCTACCTTTTTTGGATGTCCTAAGAAAAAAGTGACCTGATGGTTCAATGAGCCACTCTGTCTACAGGAAAGCTACCCATACGGATGCTTACCTGAGACCGGATTCCCACCACCATCCATCCCAGAAGAATTCCCTCATCAAGACTCTGCACCATAGAGCCCAATGCATATCCGACCAGGAACACATAGCCAGTGAACTCAAGCACGTACACCAAGCTCTTAAAGCAAATGGTTACTCCGACTACACAATCCGCAAAGCTATCCCTCCAACCATGAAGAAGGACCCTCTTGAGGAGCCTTTCCAAACCATCACTTTACCCTACATTGCGGGGATCACAAAAAAGATCTCCAAAATCTTGAATAAACACAAGATCCATGACCGATTCAACACATTACATAAAATCCGTCATCTGGTTCCGTCTGTAAAAGATGTGATTCCGGACATACAGTACCCTGGCGTCTACAAACTAAGTTGCCTCTGTGGTAGTAGTTACATTGGAGAAACCAAACGACATGTCTCGGACCGCATTCGTGAACACAAAGCAGACCTAAAATACGGTAGGACCAACACCTCGGCCGTGGCAGATCACTGTTATAATTCAGTAGGCTCACATGACATTGACTTTTCCAAGACAGAGGTTCTTTGCACGCCATCTGGCTACCATGAAAGATTCGCTCATGAGGCTATCCACATATACAAAACACAGACAATTTCAACCGAGAAGATGGATTCTGGCTTAGCAATCATTGGAAGGATTTGATAAACCATTTCGGGTCTTAATTGATTGTTCACGATTACGGTGGCTTTCAGACCGCATCCATTATTTTCGTCTCCCCCCTCCTCTTTTCCGAACATAGATAGACTTGTCCATCTGAACAAACTGCCAAATCGCTCTCCGTGGTGCTAACGTAAAAAAAAACGCCACTTTTTTCAAATGTTCTTGCTGTGGTTTTCACGCCTGATGATGATTGCTTGTGTTGCAGTCGAAACGTCGTGAGAATTTTATTATTTTATATTTTAATTATTTTATTGTGTCCCTTCTACGTGACTTTACCGAAAGAACCAAGAATATGAATCCCTGCAGTCACAAAAGCTTTAAATAAAAAGGGCTGTAAGTTGCCATTATTAGTATTATTATGATAACTATTTTTCATAATGAAGGTTTTTAGGTTAGATCGGGTAAGTATAAATGTGTCGTAACCCTCCACCACCCGACACGGCCAGTAAGGTTTGTCACGTAAACAACGCGCCGATTAGTTACTACAGCCCACCGGTATGTTGGAGAGTAAATCCACAACATTTACAATTTGAGTAATACGACGTTTCGCTGGTAATTACATCCAGCATCATCGGGCAATTTGTCAGAATAGTGAAGCCATCCATCTGCTTCCGCTTTTAAATAGAGCAGGACTACGTCATCACTGTGAACCCATCATGAATGACATTGGTCGGCGAAAGCCTACATGTTATAACTGTTGTTATTGTTTCAAATACTTTCAGGTTAAATGGAAGGGCAAAAAATTCGTCTGCATCCGTAGCTGTCTGCGGGGCGTCGCTTCTTCCGGAACGTTGAACATTAAGTCACGGCCGGCCTTTGGTGGTCGTGCAACGTGGAATTCACTGGGGGGCAGGGGGGAGCATCTGCAAACCGCGCCACCGTCTGCACCTCCGCCCCCCAGCCCAGCTCAGTTAGCTTCGGCGAAGGCGCGGTGTGAATTTAAACTAAGACGGGGGGGAGATCTCGCCGATGACGTAATGCCCCAGCGCGCACTGACAGCGCTTGATGCCTTCTGATGCCAGGAGCTTCAGACGGAACGAGACCACCCGGGCCGGCGGAACGCCACGGCGCGGTCGCCCCGGGCCTAGCGTCGGAGGCGTCCGTCGGCCCTGAAGGGCGAGGAGCGGCGGTGGGTACTTTCAGGACCGAATCCAAAACTTGACAGTCGTGGGTTTTTCACCGACGCCGCACTGACCGGCGTGGCGATGTTTGGTCACGTGCGCACGTACGTACGTTTGGCTTCTTCTTCCGCGCCGCACGTGGCCAGCCGTGCGAATCGGAGATGCCGGGGGGGAAGGACAATGAACGAAACGCAAAAAGCAGTTCTACAGAAATGAGTGTTTCGAAATGAGTTTTTGAGTTCACCCCCACGAGCCGTAAGGCGTGGGGAGGTCCTCATCCAGCAGTGGATTGACAAACGCCTCTGCTTGTACGTGCATGCACCACAAGCATTGCACAAGCGACGTGGTGATGTCACCGCCACTTAGTGGTGAGTGGCGGTTGTTGTTATTTGTTCTGGAGTGTACAGCTGGTGCCATGGGGAGGTTTGCACCTTGTATTTGAAAAATTTAAACACTTCTCTCTCTCTGATTATTCTCTTGTTCCACTGCTCCACTTTTCAATTCCCTCTTCCCATCACTGTCGTCATCTCTTTCCGCTGGAGCGCTTATTATTCTTAAAGTATTCTTTGAGTCTTTCGGTAAAGCCACGTAGATAGAAAAAATAATAAAAATATCACGACGTTTCGATCGCAACAGAAGCAATCGTCATCAGGTGTTGCGATCGAAACGTTGTGATATTTTTTTTTCTATCTACGTGGCTTTACCGAAAGACCCAAAGAATATGAATTCCTGCAGTCACGAAAGCTTTAAGTCAAGATTCTTAAAGTAATCATAATAATAACCTTCATTCGATTCAAGAAACGCGCAATCACTCTTATCTTTCACAAGCTTTTATCGTGCCGTTTGTTGCTGGTTTTGGGCCTTCGTGCCTATCTGTCACTATTGTTAGGCTTGTTTACCCCATCACTAGGATTATTATTCAGCTCGTTTACCCAGGAAGGCCACAGTGACCCTCGTAGACTCTTTTTTCAGCAGGGTTCTGCCAAGTTTTTTTCCACGGGGGACGTGGGGCGACAATTACCATGTCGCTTGCGATTGAGTGACTTGTGGTGGGGTTCTTCAAACTTGAAAAATCGGTGGTAGCCGGCACACATCGGCCGACTCTTGCGACATAAAATAGTATCGTTTTATTTGTATATATATCCTAATATATAAACACCCAGGTCTGTGATTCTGTCATTCTGTGACTAACGCGGCACAGATTGGTTGAAGTGCGTCACGTGACCGGGACCAACCAGCCAACCAATGCTTGGCGGGGCTATAGAGAGGGCGGGTGAAAGTCCGCATCGAACCAAACCCCCAGCAATGCCATCTACTTAACGACGAGAGGAAATTCACACGAAATGTCGTTTTCAATTTAGTATTTCAGATGTAAAATGATATAAGCTTTTAATGAAGAAATGAAATTATCTAATTCAAAACATATTTCATTTTTAAACTTCTAAACGGAGCATCGGGTGCTTGCGTGACTGCGTCGTTCGTGTGCAAATTTTTTTCGTGACATTCCTGGCCGAAGGCCGTAAATGGTTGTTAATGCACCCGTGGTTGAGAAACTGTACATAAAAAATATATAATTATTATTTTTTTTAAATGCAATGTTTCCTGTTTCGTGTGTGGCAGGATGAAAATGCCGGAGCTGACAACTATCGTTCAGTGTGAGTAAACCACATGATGCCATCGTGCCAGACATCCCGTGTGTGTGTACTCGTATTGGCACCGCATTGTAGCAATCGGAGGTGCGGGGGACAGACATCAAACATTGCTTTTCCTTTCTCCGTAGATTGCCCCCATTCACGTTTACATGACACGTGGTAGCTACCAACAATACACTAAACTCAAGCAATGTTTTATTTGACCAGGTAAGGCCCATTGAGCTCAGGAGCGGACCTGGCTGTCGCGAGTGACAGCCCGACGAGAAGTGGCTTATCGCGTGGACATCTTTAGCAGCCAAAATTACTCCCTAAACGCGCGGCGTCGATTCTAAACGTGGGAGGGGAAAAACAAAAAACGCAGGACCCGGAGAAAAATCCACGCGACCACGGTGGGGGGGAGAGAGAGAGAGAGAGAGACACCGCAAACTCCACAGGGGATGGGATGGAGCTCGTTGTCGTGTCGCACTCAACGGCTGTGGCCAAGCGCGTGGCCTTTCCTTTGCGGTTTCTGCGACGAGTGTGCGGTGGTGGTGTTGGTGGTGGAGTCGTCATCGCTGTCTGTGCGGCGGTGGCGACGGCAACGTGGAAGTTCCCGCATTCTTGGCCGGGGAGGAAACGAGAACCGATGGGGTGTCGAATTACTGTAAAACCCACATTTTTTTGCAGAATAAAATAGATCCCTTTATGATTACATTTGTTATTATTTTACAGTACCGTGCTTTTTATACTTAGGGGGAACTGCTGTTGGGTGCTACTCGTTGCGAGCGAATGCGCTGCCTTGACATGGCTCGTGTGAGTTTGCCCCCCAAGCCCCCCAAGCCCCCCCCCCAACAAAGACAAAGATCCCCCCCCCCCCCGTATAGCCTCAACATACTTTTGGGGCAAGTGCTGTTAGCGAGCACCTTCTTATTCATCTCGCCACCGTAGCGGCCCACAGTACGACGAGGTGATGGTCTCACTCACGAAGGCCAGCGTGGCCTGGCCTCCTTCCCGAGTGGCGACGTTTACACACCGGACCAAATTCTCATTTTGAGGTCAAGTCTACCTGGGAGGAGGCCCAGGTCCGGTTCATGCAATGGGAATGGAATTCGGGTCGCCGGGTTTGTGGCGCGGCACAGCGCGCTAACCGCTACACTACCGCTACCTCGCACGCACGCACGCACACAACGCGCGCACTCGCACGCATGGCAAACATAAATGCTTGATGGCTTCCTGTCTTGGCTCGAACAACCTGAATAGCGGCTTGTCTTCGTTTGTTTGTTTGTTTTACAGGTCACGGCAAAACGCGGATCGAACATCGAAGACACCGGCGGCAGCGGTGAGTCGGGCCAATCTCTCGTGAAGGAGTGTGATCGAAAATAAGAAGTAATGATGACGCACTTTTTCGTTTGTGAAATAAAATGTACGTATTTCCTTTGGTGGGAACTGGCCGGCGGACGGCTCAGCGGTACGCCGCACCGTGCTAGCGGCGTTCGCCGCGGTTGCCTCTCCGTTGGCTTGCGCGACACCATTGGGCCAATCTTTTCCCTTTTTTCGTGTGCGCGCGTTTGTGTGTGAGCGTGTTTGTGTGTGTGCGTGTTTGTGTGTGTGCGTGTTTGTGTGTGCGTGTTTGTGTGTGTGCGTGTTTGTGTGCGCGTGTTTGTGTGTGAGCGTGTTTGTGTGTGCGTGTTTGTGTGTGCGTGTTTGTGTGTGAGCGTGTTTGTGTGTGCGCGTGTTTGTGCGTGCGCGTGTTTGTGTGTGTGCGTTTGTGTTAGCGTGTTTGTGTGCGCGCGTTTGTGTGAGCGTGTTTGTGTGTGCGCGTGTTTGTGTGTGTGCGTGTTTGTGTGTGTGCGTGTTTGTGTGTGTGCGTGTTTGTGTGTGTGCGTGTTTGTGTGTGTGCGTGTTTGTGTGTGTGCGTGTTTGTGTGTGTGCGTGTTTGTGTGTGTGCGTGTTTGTGTGTGTGCGTGTTTGTGTGTGTGCGTGTTTGTGTGTGTGCGTGTTTGTGTGTGTGCCTGTTTGTGTGTGTGCGTGTTTGTGTGTGTGCGTGTTTGTGTGTGTGCGTGTTTGTGTGTGTGCGTGTTTGTGTGTGCGCGTGTTTGTGTGTGCGCGTGTTTGTGTGTGCGCGTGTTTGTGTGTGCGCGTGTTTGTGTGTGCGCGTGTTTGTGTGTGCGCGTGTTTGTGTGTTTTTGTGTGCGCGTGTTTGTGTGAGCGTGGCGTCAGCAGAGCGTTAGCGTCACGATCAGCGCTACGCTGCGCTAGGAACCCGGCCACGCGACCTCGGTTCCCGCTCGCGGCCAACGCAACGGCGGCGATTATCTGAACCGGTCCCGGGCTTCCCCTGGGCTTCCCCTAGGCGGACTCAACCTCAAATGAGTACCTGGTGCGGTGTGTAAACATCGCTTACGGCACTTGCCCCAAACAATCTGTTGAGGCTAGACGGGGGGGGGGGGGGTCTTTGTCTTTGTGAGCGCGTGTGAGAGACACTGGTCCTTGAATCGCCACCGATGCCGCCACCCACCTACCACCTTCCCCTTTCTCTGCTGCTCTGTGAGATCCGCCCGTACTCTTGGACACGTGGGAAAAAGAGCTTCGTTGCTCATCGGATTCACCCCTCCAGTCCATTTAGAAGAATCTGGATCCCGTAGAGACGCGGAGCGATCGCTTTAACAACGCTCGCTGTCACCCTCCCCCTTGCTGAGAGAGTCAGAGGAGCAGTGGGATATCTATAAACGGATCACTGTATATTGCTCATATAACTCTTTTATTGGTCACATTATGTGCAAGTAAACACTTGTAGACTACCGCTGTAAAAAAAACGATATAGCTGTTTTTTTTTTTGTTAAAGCCAGCTGGCCACAAATGATAGCCCAATTAAAGTGGCTTATCATCGAGTGGAAATGTACAGCAGCCAAATACTCTAAAACGCGTGTACCTAAGTGTGGAGGGAAAAAAACCGGAGGACCCGGAGAAAAACCCACGCTACCACGGGCAGAGAGAGACACGCAAACTCCCAATATACAGCAGCATGCGTCAGGGTCGTGATCGAACCCACGACCTCCTGCATACCAGGCGAGCTAGTTAACATCTCCTAGCCACCGTGATGTTGATGATGAGAGAGAGAGACACACAGACTCCCAATATACAGCACCATGCGTCAGGGTCGTGATCGAACCCACGACCTCCTGTAGACCAGGCGAGCTAGTTAACCTCGCCTAGCCACCGTGATGTGGACGATTAGAGAGAGAGAGACACGCAAACTCACAATATACAGCAGCATGCGTCAGGGTCGTGATCGAACCCACGACCTCCTGCATACCAGGCGAGCTAGCTAACATCTCCTAGCCACCGTGACACCCGACACAGTGGTACCTCCCACCCTCCAGACACCGCGAGGCAGCACACCTGATAGCCGTGTTGGCATTACAAAGAGAGGATGCAGGAGGTGTGGGGGTTGTGGTGTGTGGGGGAGGGTGGGCGTGGAACTGCAGGGCTCGGCTGTAAAAGAGCGCTGTGAGACCCGCAGACCGGGTGTTGTCCCCGGGGCGTTTATTGCGGCGGCAAGGTGCAGAGACACATATCAGCCAGCGGCGTCCAGAGTTCAGGAGGCCTCGTGCGTAGCTATTCGATTGAAAGCCGGGGGCCAAATACCTGTCTGACGAAAATATCACCGCAGCCCAACGACCGGGCAAAGTCCACCTCTTGACCACCGAGCGAGAGAACTCCCAGGGTAGGGAAGCTGCCACACCTTACCCCCCCCCCCCCCCCCCCACCACTACGATGTACCGCGGCGAGCCCCAGGGGCTTGTGAGCAAACGCTCGACCTCCGCTGCAACGTTCCGCGGCCCGTCGTGGGCGAGCGGCGAGCGCGGTCACCCGGTCCGCGATCTCGTGACGAGGCTCCGCGGCCGGGGGTGCGAACGCGACGTCGTCATCGTCATCGTCGTCGTCGTTGTCTTGGTTGAAGAATAAGAAGTCGACTCGGGTTCAGAATGTACAGCCTCCGTGAACATCACGTCTTCGGCAGCCAGGTTTGTGTTGCCTTTCGCGACCGCCCGACCCGGCCAGGTGCGTGCGTGTCTGTGTGGCGCTGCGTTGGCTGGCTCATGTAGCCCCCACATGCCCAACCACCGCATACCCCAGCAGCTTCTGTTGAGCTGGATCGAGGGTGCTAAATGGGTGCGGCACAGGCTAGAGAAGAGATGGACTGAGGTTGTACGGGAGGATGCGGAGCTGAGTGGACTTTCCGATGGCCGGTACCAGCGGTGTCAAAATCGGACCTCTTTGGAGGAGGCTCATGAAGGACGCTCCTGAGCAGTTGGAGACAGTCGGCCTTTAACAACAGCGGTGGGTAGTGGAGCGACGCTCACAACAACGAGCCGAGCGCAGGGCGGCTAACATGCGGCAAGTTGGCACAGTAGGGGGCACAGCTGGTGCGTCTGCCAGTCATCTTAGTCAACCCATGGCACCTGCTGGGTCTGTCCCATGACCTTATCAGCAGTGAGCCTTGAACAATTGATGTGGCCTCAAAGTGCACCTGGCCTGGCACAACCGCCGTGGTGGCATCACCGCTACTTAGTGGCGAATGGCGGCTGTTGTTGTCGTCGTGTGGCGCTGGTGCCTCCCCCCCCCTCCTCCTCCGTTTGTTTTCGCCAGTTTCATTTCCCGTGCGATGCTGCTGACTGAACGGATGTTTAGGATAAGTGCAGGCAGTCTCCAGCTTACGACGACACACGTTTTATGACGTTTGCTATCATGCCGCCGTGGATCGATTTACGACGTGACTTGGGGTGGAGCGTTTTTGCTATTTTTCGAGTGTTTGCGTGGATGTTTGCCTATTTACACCCTGTTCGATACGGCCGATGGTCCGATTTGTACAACGACGGGATTTCCAGGAACGCATTCGCACGGCTGGCTATGTATGGTGCGAAAGAAGTTCAATATTCGTACGTGACGTCGTGAAAGCGGGGACCCGCGCTGCACTCGGGAGCTGCTGCAATGCATGTTTCCTCTTGAAGTAGTTTCGCCGTAATTTTATCGTTTTTCAATATTTCATAGCTCTGCGTCCTCCTTCAACCCCCTCCACCCCTCCCCAACCCCCCCACCCCCCGCCACCGGGGTCACCGTTGCCTAAGAGCTCGAGCTCAATGCGGGCCCCGCCCCCCGGATGAACAAAATAAATAAATAAAACACGCCCAATTTTTGTTTGGGTCCATAATCGTTACAATTAAAGAGCGTTCGCAATGAACGCTCCCTTTATTGATCCACTGCTGGATGAAGGCATGCCCCCCCCCCGTGCCGCATCGGTTGTGGTGTTTGTCTGACCATACTTCAGCACATTGGGCGGTGTTGGTTGATGAAGGAAGGGGAAGTGGTGGGTGGGCGGGTTGGGGATGGGGGCCGGCCTGGTCCAGATATCGCTCGCCACCGACGTTAATCGTGGCCAGGAATCGAACTCGGGCTTCCGAGTCCAAGGCGCGCTGCGTGAGCGTTCACGTGCAGCGCTACGCCTGTGCGGTTTTTCGCGCGTAATGGCCGCGTAAACGTTGCCTGCCATCGCCATCGAATGAGCACTTGTTGTGGCGTGTGTAAACGTAGCCACGAGGGAGACAAAGGCGGACGGGCGTGGTGCTTGGTCATCCCACTGCCCTCGTGTGCCGTGCCGGCCTTCGTAGGTGCTGCTCGCTAACGGCACTTTCCCCAAGAGTCTGTTAAGGCTACATGGGGGAGAACTTTATCTTGGTCGTAGCCCAAAGTTGCCACCTGCCCGGGGTTAACCGGGTCAGTCCAGTCCGGCAATCGGTGGAGTTATCGGTGTTCCGGTGGCAGCAGCAGCAGCAGCAGGAATCGAGCTGTAACTGGGACCTGGTGGTTTATAGCGTTGGACTTTATCGCGGTAAACTGCACAGTGTCGATAGGCCTAGGCTGAAGCAGAGCTATGTCTGGGGTTTGGTTTGCGGGGAAAGGTGGCGGACCCAGCCGCTCGCCGGCCGTTAGAACGGGAGCGGGCCCCGGACAGATGCGATCGCAGAGGGCGCGGGGCGTGACCCGGGGCGGCCGTGACGGCCGGGCCAGGAACGACGGGATCCATGAACCTCCCAAGGGATGGTGCGGGCAGGGCGGTGAACCCAACATTTCAGACTTTCAAAATAAAGCCCTACGTTAGTTACAGCAACAAAATATTCAGTATATTAATAAGGCATACAGTAGAACGCCTCTTAACGACCACACCTGTTAACGAATAATCGCTTAACAATGGGCCTCCACGAAGCACAATGTGTATAGTGTAGTGCATAGTGTAGTGTATAGTGTAGTGTATAGTCGTGTAGTGCCTCCATAGAGTCTAATGTGTTCTCTTACCGACCATTCCCCTGTTAAAGACGGGCTGTTGTAGGTACGGTAAATATGAACTAACGCATTGATTAATCACGTTTCTTTTAATATTACGTGTTTATAATGTTGTTGTTATCTTTATTTAATAATATATTATAAAGTACGTTTTTTCGGGTGAAAAAGGGTAACTGTCGATGCTATCCGAACGCATTAAGCCTTTCACGCGCATTTGCTATACTCGGTTTCGTGGAACCAAATACCGTCGAGGGGTTCCGCTGTGCAATTTTTGGGGGGTTTTTAAGTTGGGGGGGGGCAAGGGGCGATCACCCACATCGGCCCCCACCACTCCCCTTGGCCGCCTCCTCCCCCGGAGCCGCCGGCCGGACTGAACTTTGAACTCTGGCAGTACTCTGCAGTAAAAGGAAGGCCATTGAGCAACACGAAAACCCCAGGGCTCACAGAATGGCAGGAAGCTCTCCCGCAGTGCACCTTTGGGGGTTCTCCTTGGGGGGGGGGGGGGGGGTTGTCACCCCACTCCAAAGAGGAAGGAGGCCAGGCCGTGACCTTTGCTGTGTGTGTCTTTGTGTGTGATTGTGTCTGTGTGTGTGATTGTGTGTGTGTCTGTGTGTGATTGTGTGTGTGTGGGGAGCGATAGTGTAGCGGTTAGCGCGCTGCGCTATGAACCTGGCGACCTGGGTTCGATTCCCGCTCATGGCCAACACCAGTGACGATTATCTGAACCGGTCCCGGGCCTCCCCTAGGTCGACTCAGCCTCAAATGAGTACCTGGTGCGGTGTGTAAACATTGCCACTAGGGAGACAAAGACGGTCGGGCGTGGTGCTGGCCACCCACCCCCTCGTGTACCGTTCCGGCCTTCATAGGTGCTCGCTAACAGCACTTGCCCCTACAGTCTGTTAAGGCTATATGGGGGATCTTTGTTTCGTGATTGTGTGTGTGATTGTGGGTGTGTGTGTGTCTGTGTGTGTGTCTGTGTGATTGTGTGATTGTGTGATTGTGTGTGTGTGTGATTGTGTGTGTGTGTGATTGGGTGTGTGATTGTGTGTGTCTGTGTGTCTGTGTGTGTGATTGTGTGTCTGTGTGTGTGATTGTGTGTCTGTGTGTGTGATTGTGTGTCTGTGTGTGTGTTTGTGTGTGTCTTGTCTGTGTGATTGTGTGTGTGTCTGTGTGTGTGTGGGGAGCGGTAGTGTAGCGGTTATCGCGCCGCGTTACCAACCCGGCGACCTGAGTTCCATTCCAGCTCACGGCCAGCACCAGTGACGATTATCTGAAACGGTCCTCGGGCCTCCACTAGAGAGGCAAAGGCGGCCGGGCATGGTGCTGGCCACCCACCCCCGTCGTGCACCGTTCCAGCTTTCAAAGGAGCTCGCTAATGTCACTTGCCCCAACACTCTGTTAGGGCTATGCGGGGGACCTTTGTCTTTGCTTTCATGTGGGGAGCGGGAGCATAGCGGTTAGCTGCACTACGGCCGAGCCAACCTAGGGGAGGCACGGGACCGCTTCAGCGGCGATCGAACTCGGGTCGGCGCGCTCTGTGCCATCGCCGTTTGTACACAGCCTGCGGCGCAAGGCCGTGTGACCTCTCCGCTGTCGAGGGGCCTCCGTTTGCGCGTAGTCCCACGTCCCTCCTACCCCCCTCTCTCCCACCACTGGCAACCGCAGATGTCGTGAATCTGCAGCTCGCTTCCCTACCTTCAACCACCCTAACTATTTTTCTAGTTTAAAAAAACCAAACATTCTACGACGCGAAGGCCTCACGGAGCTGTGGCGCTCTTTTTTTTTTCCGCCGCGACCTGGCCACAAATGATCGCTCAGCGTCACCGTCGTCACCACGTGGCAAATCCAAATTCTCTCTCTCTCTCTCTGTCTCTTCACTTCTCGGTTCAACCAAAAAAAACACGGAGCTTACTTTACACCTTACCCTAACCTCTTCTGCCGGCCCCTCTTGTTGCCTCCCACATTACGGTTTGCGCTGTCGTTTTATTCCCCCCCCCTTCCCCCGATCCGCGTGTGTTCATATCCATGCCGCTGCCGTAGGCTACAACGCGGAACGTACGTTCACCCGTAACCCTCTTCACGTTACGCCTGCGGATTTTTTTTTAACGCGCGCTTCTCAAGACGGTCAAACACCTCGTCTGTTACACGAATAGGTTTTGCTTTATCTGGCAATAAGACAAAGTGCTAAGATGTCAAAACACCAGACCGGTGAAACGTTTCTCAAGGAATCCTGTCTGCGTTGACCACGCACGGTACTTTTGGTGAACATGCAAACAAAACAAAAAAAGACGTGCTCTGATAATATTCGGTGCATTGTCTTTTAAACGGATCGGTCCACACCAGAGACCGCGGAGAATCCATACTCTTTGGTTCTTTCGGTAAAGTCACGTAGGTATAAAATAAAATAAATCACGACCTTTCGATCGCAACACAAGCAGTCGTGATTTGTTTGATTTTTTTTCTAACTAGGTGACTTTACCGAATGGACCAGAGTGTGGATTCCTGCAGTCACGAAAGCTTCAAATGAAGATTAAATCACCCGGACACTTGCCAAAATACAAAACTAAAACTAATCCCCATCCTACCAGGCAAAGTTTGCTGCTACTCGCCGACAGCACTTGCCCCCAACACACTGTTGAAGGCTATACGGGTGATCTTTGCCTTTGTTGCTTCCACGACGTTTCGGGCGCAACACAAGGGTCTGTCATTTACTTCACCGAAAGTATGGATTCCTGCAGTCACGAAAGTTTGAAATCAATAAAGAATGCATATATTATCAGAGCATGTTTTTCGTTTGTTTGCGTGTTCACCGCAAGTACCGTGTGTGGTTAACGCAGACAGGATTCCGCGAAACAGGTTTCTGTTTGGAGTTTTAACGTCTGAACATTTGTTTCATTGCCAGAGAAGGTCAAACCTATTCTTTTATTTTGATACAGGCAAGAAAGGTCCCATGCCTCGTCCGTTAGTCTGCGCGACGTCCCTTTTAAAGGACTCTCGATCCACTCGTTCTCTGCAGAATTCACGTCTTTGTTTTGTCGTCCGTCTTCGCTTGGTGCTGCTGCTGCTGCTGCGGCGGCGGTGGCCACCGCCACCGCAAATCTCCCCGCGTGGTAACGGCCGACCGACCGGCTAAACGGGAACGCGCGCCGTCCACGCAAGCAAGTCAAATATAAACGTGACCTCTCTCGCGAACCCCGCTTTGTATGCGTGCATGTGTTGAGCTTCTTCCGCACCGCCAACCGTGCTTATCGGGAAGTGCGGTGGGGCGGGTGGTGGGTTAAGGACAACAAACTAAACACAACAACAAGCAGTTCTAAAGAAATGAGCTTTCAATCCGGATGATTTACAAGTGCCACAGCCTCCCAGTGGCTTTCCTCGCGCCCTGCTCGTGGGCCGGGCCATCGTTACTTTCACGCGCGGCAATCCGCCGCGGTTCGCTCGCTCTGTGGGGCGGGGGGAGCCACGCGCTCGGAACACCCGCCCACCCAACCACCAAACCACCCACACCACCCACACACCCACCCACACACCACACACCCACCCACACACCCACCCACACACCACCCACACACCACCCACCCACACATCCACCCACACACCCACCCACATGCCGACCCACACACACACACACACACCCACCCACACATACACACAACCATGGGGGCGGGCGAGAGAGCCGGATATTGTCGCGGTGATCTGACCGCTGCCGCCGCCCGTTGACGCTGCGCTGCAAGCGGCGCCGTGCGGGGCCCCGCGACGTGTGCCGATGTGCCGATGTGCCGTTCCGCCTCGGGAGTCGTCGCCGCCGCCGCCGCAGGTTTCGGTGTTACGGCAGAGGGGTGCGAGCGCCGGGGAGCGCTTGTGTCTGGCCGTGCCCCATGCCCGTTTCGCGTGAGTATGCGGCAGCAGAGCGTCGCGACGCGCCCGTGCAGTGTTTGTACATTTCCCCTCGTTGCGTCACGGTATGAGTTGTTGGCGCTGGTGGCTCTTTGCTTGGGTGCTGCACTCTTGCAAATGAGACTCCTCCTCTGTCCTGGTGTCTTTGAGAGTTGTTCTCACCTTGCTGAGCAAAGTCAGCCCGCCTCGTAGCGTGCAGAGCAACAGTCCCGCACCTCCGATTAGCACGGCTGGCCACGTACTGTGCGATAGAAGTTCAGCATACAGACGTGCAAAGCCAAACGCGGATGGAACGCTGTGTAAAGTCTGATTACCGTTTGGCTGTGCTGGTAATCTCTCCCCACCCCCAGCTGGCATTAGTGCCGGCTCAACGCGGCGATGGTCGGTTGCGATTGCAGATCGTCTACTTTTTGTCATCGTCATCGTTGTTGTTGTTGCGCTTTCTTCCGCAGGAAATCTTGCCCTCGGTCCTGCGACCTCTCTCTGGAACCGCCGAAGCCTTTGTAAGAAACCTCGCCGCCATAAGTCGTCGTCGTGGTCATCGTCATCATCATCATCGCCATCATCATCGTCGTTCTTTATCATCATCGTCATCATCATCGTCGTCATCGTCGTCATCATCATCATCGTCGTTATCACCGCCGTCGTTCTTCATCATCGTCGTCATCATCGTCGTCATCATCATCATCGTTGCCATCATCATCGTCGTCATCATCGTCATCATCATCGTTCTTCATCATCGTCATCATCGTTACCATCCTCATCGTCGCCATCATCATCATCATCATCGTCGCCATCATCATCGTCGTCATCATCGTCGTCGTTCTTCATCATCATCGTCATCATCGTCGCCATCATCATCGTCGTCATCATCATCATCGTCATCATCGTCGTTGCCATCATCATCGTCGCCATCATCATCATCATCATCGTCGCCATCATCATCATCATCGTCGCCATCATCGTCCTCGTCGTCATCATCGTCGTCGTCATCATCATCGTACGTCGTCATCATAATCATCATCATCATCATCGTCATCATCGTCGTTCTTTATCGTCGTCATCGTCCTCGCCATCATCATCATCATCATCGTCATCATCGTCGCCATCATCATCGTCGTTCTTCATCATCATCGTCGTTGTCGTCATCATCGTCATCGTCGCCATCATCGTCGTCATCGTCATTATTATTATTCACGGACAAGGCCTCGGATTGGAATGCGACCGAATGCGATTCAGGATCTTCAGTGATCGTTAAGAGTAACATTGCGCGAGCTGAAATTACACGGCAATGAAAGCCACGTGAAAATGTTGTTGTTGCTGCTATTGTTGTTGTTGCTGCTATTGTTGCTGCTGCTGCTGCTGCTGCTGTTGTTGTTGCTGCTGTTGTTGCTGCGGCTGTTGTTGTTGCTGCTATTGTTGTTGTTGCTGCTATTGTTGTTGTTGCTGCTATTGTTGTTGCTGCGGCTGTTGTTGTTGCTGCTATTGCTGCTGTTGCGAAAATACCGCCCGGTAGATTTTAGCCAAAAACGCGACCTCTCTGCTGTCGGTGAAGGCGCGTCGTGGTTCATAACCTTTTTTGTTTTTGTTGTTGTGTCGTAGGCGGCCAACAATGTCCGCATGAGGAACAAGAACCACATCAAGGGAAAAGGTGAGCGTGGATGTATGTACGTACGTGTGTACACGGACTCCTCAACTTACGAACGAGTTAGGTTCCAGAGGTCTGTTCGTAAGTCGATTTGTTCTTAAGTCCAACTTTACTCCTGTAGGATTGTAAACACGGTGTGCGCGCGTGTGCACTAATGGCTTTAAAAGTTGTACAATCTCCTGTAGATGTAGACGCCACTGGTTCTTCACGTTCTGAAGATGTAGATGCCACCACCGCCGTCGATTGCACGGCGGTTGAACTTACGACTCTCGGTCCGAGCAGGCAACCTTGACATACGGACAGGTTTGTTCGTATCTCTGAAAGTTCGTAAGTGGAAACGTTCGTAAGTAGAGGAGTCCCTGTACGTTGCACTTCCTCCGCCGCTAAACGTAGCCGACCGTGCTAATCGGAGGTGCCATGTTGATCGCCCGCGTTGAACGTCCACACTTTGAGAAGTGCGCCGGGGTAGGGGTAGAGGGGCGTGGAGGTTAACGCACGCTTTGCATACTCTTTGGTTCTATTCGGTAAAGTCACATAAATAAACAACAACAAAAAAATTCACGACGTTTTGGCCACAACACAAGTGGCCTTCATCAGGTGAAGGGAGCAGACTGTCCAGAGGACAGCGCTGGAGCGAACACAGCCAAGCTCAGACCGCGACCTTTAAGCTGTGTGAGAGGAAGCAGAGCGCCTTGACAAAGGAATTAGCATAAAAATTAGCATTTAATTGGCGGACTTAGCATGATGAACGATATACAGGGGGGAGCATGTGCAGACCGGCGAGGGGAGGGGGAGTTTACATATTGATGGTGTGAAAAGGGAATTTGAGCAGCTGCGAAAGTTTGGGATATCACTACTTGAAAAAAATATACTGTACCATTGAAAATTAGTTTAATGTTTGGTTTGATTCAGAACATCTTTCCAATGGTTGCTTAATTTGAAACCATCCTCTCGGCTGAAATTGTGTCTGCGCCCGTAAATCTGAATTGCCTCGTGAAGAAAATCTCTGATAAAAACCCGTGGGTCTGCAGAGAATGTTGCCAAGTGACCGAGAGAGGAACGAGGGGGTCGGAGGGCGTGACGCGTCGGTGAATGACATCGGCAGGACGCGCATCATGGCTGGCAGGGACGGTCGGTGGCCGATGTTCGGAAATAACGCGCCGGAGTTACAGCCAGGGTGGATTGGGGCGCCATGGTGTGCGAGATGTTAACCATCTCGCCTGGTGTGCAGGAGGTCGTGGGTTCGATCCCGACCCTGACGCCTGCTGCTGCTGTATATTTGGAGTTTGCGTGTCTCTCTCTCTCTCATCATCATCACGGTGGCTAGGAGATGTTAACTACCTCACCTGGTATACAGGAGGCCGTGGGTTCGATCCCGACCCTGACGCCTGCTGCTGCTGTATATTTGGAGTTTGCGTCTCTCTCTCTCTCCCTGTGGCCGTGTGGATTTGCCTTCGGTTTTCCCCTCCACATTTAGGATCGACGTGCGTTTGGAGTGTTTCGCTGCTGTACATTTCCGCGTGGAGCTTGCGCGTTCTCTCTCTCTCGCCCCGTGGCCGTATGGGTTTTTCTCCGGGTCCTGCGGTTTGTTTCTCCCCGCCACGTGTAGGATCGGCGTCACGCGTTTCAGAGCGTTCGGCTGCCACCAGCGACGGTGCCCCGGTGGACAGGTCAACATCGCGTGCGACGGATGCGACTTTTAGAAAGCACAACTCCCCATCCCCCCCACGACCGCCCCCTCCACCCCCCCGTAGCGCCCCCTCCTTCCCCATCATTTCCCCAACACACCTTCCTGTGCGCAAAAAACATCATCCTCCTCCTCCTCCTCCTCGCTTGTCGACAAGCCCTCGCGAGCTGCCAGCTCAACGTTTCGCGTCGAGCTGGCTGCTCGCGCCTTCCGTCGCGCAAGGAGGCGAAGGCGCAGCCCCTGCAATTTCCCCCTGCTCGCGGCCACCGCCGGCCAGAGGGGGCTCTGGCGGCAAAGCCCCCGCTGAGGTTATCTGTTCCTCTTCCCAACGTTGGGCAGGCGGTCGGTCCTTGGACGAGGTGGGAGTGACCCGCGCGACCTGCCGATTGACCGGCTGCGGTGTTCACGCTTGGATGCTGCTGGGTGGACAGAAAGCTGCGGTGGGGTCCGGGGGTAGGGGTGGTGTGGGCAGGGAGTGGGGGGGCGGGGGCGGCGGTGTGAAGAAAATCCGCCCCGTTGTTTCCAACAACCGAGCCGTGAGATGGGGAGTCGAACCGGGGGCACGGTCCCAGGTTGTCTCGGTCGCCCGGGCCGCAAAGTAACGTGACGGTAATATTTGTTTAGGCCGGTTTTGTTTCCTTTTCTTGGTTTTGTTTAGCTATAAAGAAAAGAATAACGAGCTGTGCGTTGTTGTTGTTGTTGTGAACTTGCTGACCCCCTGTGCACATACTGGACATCTGTGGATCGAATTCCTTCTGCAGTATAAATAAAGATTCTGATTTTGCAATATGTTCAGATTAACATGATGCACGCTGTGTCGGTTAACTGTGACTAACCCCCACCGGTAATAGGTACTGCATATTTTCACATTAACATGATCCTTTGCGTGTTGATTATCTGTGCATACCTGTCAACCTCGTATCAGTCGCTACATTATTGCAGCCCAATTCAGACCTGATTGGTCACTCTCGTGCCCCTTATAAATCTCAACGTTCGTCCTGCAAAGTCCCATCACAAGGGAGAAACACAAACAAATTCGACTTTTTTTTTTTGCCCGCATTGAAACGGCCGTACGCCGTGTGGACCTGAACTCAATTTCCCCCGTAGGAGAACGCGGTGACCGGCATGGGTTGACAGGGATGTTCACTGTGACTAACCCAGCAGGCAAATAGGAACCGCATCGTCTCATATTAACATGACGCACTGTAATTTACGTGATTACATTAACCACCCCCCCCCCCTCTGGTCTTCGCACTTGATAGGCTCACAGTGATGACATCGCCTGATGCAGGTGGTTGTTGTTGTTGCAATCACCGGCGAAACGTCGCGGCACTCGGCTTGTAAACGCCGTGGGTTTTCTCTCCGACGCTCGCGCGGCCGCCGTGCTGAAGTATCAACTGGCTGGCACTTTTCGTTCACAAAAAAAACAATCAACCCCCTCCGTGATGGATATTGGTCTCGCCAGCCTACCGCGCGTTAGACCAATTCTGACCCCGCACGCGCGTGCGGTGTTCGCTGTTTGCCGTCATCGTGTACACCGGCCAGCCACCAAGATGAGCAGGCGTCGCATTTCCTGCAAGGACCTCGGGGCGGGCGACCTGGAGGGCTGGGTGTGGAAAAAAAAGCAGATCAAGAGCTTCTTCAAGCCGTCCTGGAACAGGTTCTGGTTCGTCCTGCAGCGGTCGTCCGTCTACTGGTACACGCACCGCAACGTGAGTCGCCCGCGAGTCCGTGCGCGTGGGCAACCGTGCCAGGCGAGGTAGTTGTTGACCGAGCGAGGTAGTTGTTGACCAGGCGAGGTAGTTGTTGATCGAGCGAGGTAGTTGTTGACCGAGCGAGGTAGTTGTTGACCAGGCGAGGTAGTTGTTGACCGAGCGAGGTAGTTGTTGACCATGCGAGGTAGTTGTTGACCGAGCGAGGTAGTCGTTGACCATGCGAGGTAGTTGTTGACCAGGCGAGGTAGTTGTTGACCGAGCGAGGTAGTTGTTGACCAGGCGAGGTAGTTGTTGACCAGGCGAGGTAGTTGTTGACCAGGCGAGGTAGTTGTTGACCGAGCGAGGTAGTTGTTGACCAGGCGAGGTAGTTGTTGACCGAGCGAGGTAGTTGTTGACCGAGCAAGGTAGTTGTTGACCATGCGAGGTAGTTGTTGACCATGCGAGGTAGTTGTTGACTAGGCGAGGTAGTTGTTGACCAGGCGAGGTAGTTGTTGACCGAGCGAGGTAGTTGTTGACCAGGTGAGGTAGTTGACGGAGCGAGGTAGTTGTTGACCAGGCGAGGTAGTTGTTGACCAGGCAAGGTAGTTGTTGACCAGGCGAGGTAATTGACCAGGCGAGGTAGTTGTTAACCAGGCCACCTGACCCACTGTCGACCAAAACCCCGGATTGCGTTTCTCGGCAGGAGGGCGGTTAGCGTACCTGTGCGCTACGTACGTTGAACGTCTTCTGCGCGACGTGCGTAGCCAACCGTGCCAATCGGAGGTGCGGGTGGTGGTGGTGGGGGGGGGGGACAATGAACGAAACACGACAAGCAGTTTCACAGAAATGAGTTTTTTCAATCTTGAATTATTTAGAAGTGCTTAGCTCCCAGTCGGCTTCCTCACATCGATTGGAAGAGCGTTCCAGACGGCGTCTGATGGCGCTCGCGACGCGGCGGGGCGGGTCTTTGCTCGCTGCGGGGGCGACCGGAGTTGGCGCGGCGGTTTTACGCCCCTCGACGTTAGCGCGTGGCGAGCGCTCTCGGTGCGTGACGAGTGAACCGCCGTCGCGTCACGCGCTCTTGTCTTGGCAGGACCTGAAGGCCGACGGGTACATCAACCTGCAGGGCTTCAAGGTCGACCGGGCGTTGGAGAGCCGCAGGAAGTTGTGAGTGCCCCGAGCGAGAGTTGCGCGCCGGGGTCGGGCGACGCACAATTCGGGTGGACCCGGGGGCGCTTCTTGCTGGAAAACGCCAAAATCGCAGGGAGAAAAATCACAAAAGAAAACAAAGCCGTGTGTCATCTCACCGGTGCCCCCGTGGTGTAACGAGCAGTGCCCAGCTCTTCTCACGCAGCCGATAGTCCCGTCCGGGGCGTGGAGTTGTTTCCAGCGAGTCCTCGTTCAGCGCGTTGGCGGAAGGTGCCGCGTCAGGCGAGAAACTATTTCCCCGCGAACGATGTAGTCAAGTTCGGCGAGATGAGATGTGTCGCAACCCTCCACCACCCGACACGGCCAATCAGCAAAAAAAGTGTCACGTTGACAAAAGACAAATAATTCACTAATACACATTACATTTTGATTTAAAGAATTACTATTCTACAACTCATTACTAATCATAACCAATGACTGATTACTAATCGATTATATAATTACAATACCCCCCCCCCTCCGCCTTTAATCACTGCACCTGATATGAGTTAAGTGATGACGTCACCCTGCTGCTCTATATAAAACCGGGAGCAAGCGAGGGCTTTACCATTCTGGCGAATTGCCCGATGATGCTGGATGTATTTACCAGCGAAACGTCGTACTCAAACTGTAAATGTGGATTCACTCTTCAACACACCGGTGGGCTAAAGTAGTGAATTATTTGTCTTTTGTCAACGTGACACTTTTTTTGCTGATTGGCCGTGTCGGGTGGTGGAGGGTTGCGACACATTTATAAATAAACGCGATCTAACCCAAAAACCTTTATTATGAATAATATTGGTCGCGAAAGCCTACTACGTGTTAAACTGAGATGAGATGTATTGCCGCTACGACGGACACGCTGCGCGGTGAGGTGGCGGGACGAGAGACTTTGGGGGTACGCCGCTGCTGATTTGCCGTATCGCCCCGCTCAGCCACGCGGCTCAAGGAAGTGGTTCGTCGTCGTTCGCTCAGAGGCCGCGTTGCAGTGGCCCGCACGCTCTCCACGTTGTAACGGCGCTCGCGTTTCGCGTTGTGCGCCGTTACAACATGTTGTGCCCCGTACCGTCGCGCCGATACCTCGGCCCACCCCTCCCCACCTTACACTCGTAACGCCGATGCAGCCGTCCGATGTTTCGCGACGGGTTCGCTCGCGGGGGCCGCACTCGACGAGCTCGAGCGGCGGCGGCGGCGGCGGCGGCAGCGGCGGCTGCATCAGATAGCCGTGAGGTTTTTCCCGCGTCCGGAGGAAGCGGAGAGAGAGAGAGAGAGCGCGAGCGGTGCGATCGGGAGTTGGATACAAACGGAAAACACGGCAACGGCCGGTCGGCGCGGCAATCGGCGCAAGTGACCGGCGGTCAAGACTCGACTGCTATTTTAAACAGTTTTTCATTTTACCAGCTTAAGGGCCCCACTTAAGCTGGTAAAAATTAAGCTGTTTTTTTTTTTTTAAAGAAACGACCCGGCCGTGAATGATAGCGCAACGAAGTGGCTGACCACGTGTAAATTTACAGCAGCTAAACACTCTAAGCGCACGTCGATTCTACATGTGGAGGGGAAAACCAAAGGCAAATCCACGCGGCCACAGGGAGAGAGAGAGGGAGAGAGACACGCCAACTCCAAATATACAACAGTCGTCAGGGTCAGGATCGAACCCACGACCTCCTGCATACAAGGCGAGGTCGTTAACATCTCGCCGCCCGCGGCAGCTGTAAATGAGGGAAACGCGCCGGATGGAGCGCGTCCGCCCGCGGAGACGGAGCGGTGCCACCTGCATCGCGTCGCGCAGATTGCTCCGTCGCGGGAGCCGCGAGAGGTGGACGGTGGCTTGGGGAGGGAGGGAGGGAGGCCCTCGTCCAGCAGCGGATTGACCGCGACTGTGCTCCTTCCCCCGTGCGTGCAGTGCATTCAAGGCCACCCACCCGAGCATCAAGCCCCTGTACTTCGCCACCGACAGCGCCGAGGATATGTACAGGTGAAGTCGGGTGGAGTCGTTGGAGGTCGCCACCTGTCCTGGATTTACCCAGGATCCCCCCCCGCCCCCGTTCGGCAGGCAGCTGCTCTCCCTGGCAAAAGCTTTGAGGTCTTCCCCAGTGGCGTTAAACGCCCCTGTTTTTTTTTCCATTTGCAGAAGAGTAGCAGTAGTAATGGCACGACACTCACTCGAGACAATGTATCGACATGTAGTGTCTGGGTGAGTGGGTTAGTGGGTCAGTGGGTGGGTGAGCGAGTCAGTGGATGGAGGGGTGAGTGGTTTAGTGGATGGGTGAGCGAGTGGGTCAGGTGGATGGGTGAGGTGAGTGGGTCAGTGGATGGAGGGGTGAGTGAGTGGGTGGAAGGATGGTTGAGTGGATGCGTGAGTGGGTTTGTGGATGGGTGAGAGGATGGTTGAGAGGACGGCTGAATGAACGATTTTGTGAGTGAATGCACGAGTGAGCGAGTGAGTGGGTCAGTCGTTGGGTGGGCAAGTTGTGAGTGGTTGAGATGTAAAAAAAGTCAAATGTTTTGTCAGTTGCGGAACACTATTGTTGATAATCCACTCGAGACGATGCCTTCGCATGCAGCTTCTCCCCTCTCTCTTCTGGTGACGATGGGTTCGTTTGGTTGCACTCGAGTCTATATTTGGAGGGGAAAAAATATTAACCCTGAGCATTTTACAGACAATGCATCGGTGCCTGCAAAACGAGTGTTTCTGAAACAAGTCGGGGGGGGGGGGGGGGGAAATCCTGCGTGCGCACGAAACGCGTGGCGCTCCTTCCCCCTGTCCTTCCGTCGTTATTTGATGAGCGGAACGCAAGCCGGCGGGGGCAGCTGTCAGGGATTTTCAGACTCGTCCTTTGCCCCTCTGTTGCGGCAACAGCGGCGCTCCGCTAAAGTTCCCTTCAAATTGCAACGACTTGTACGTGTTGAACGTCTTTCGCACCGTACGTAGCCAACCGTGCTGTGTGTGTTGAACTTCTTTCACAGCGTACCTAGCAAACCATGCTGTGTGTGTTGAACTTCTTTCGCACCGTACGTAGCAGACCATCATGCCGTGTGTGTATGTATGTACAGTGTGTTGAACTTCTTTCGCACCGTACGCATCCAACCGTGCTCGTCCAGTTTTTGTTTAGTTTGTATTGTTTTTTACGAGAGCCATTGTGGTCCTCCCACTACCGGAGAGCCACCCACGACATGCAGACGGACGCGTCCAAGATCAGCGCAACCTTGTACGGCCCTTGTGACCATTTTCGGTGACAACCCAGGCCTCTCCTGCAACATGAGACTCTATCCTCTGGCCCCCCACACCTTGGTTACAACACCAACCAACCTGAGCACCGCTGCCCCGGTAGGCTCGGCAGTAACGGACGCTGTGCCCGTTCCCCCAGGTGGATTGAGAAGCTCCGCGTCGTGGCCATCGCCAGCGCGTCCACGGAGAAGGAGGACCAAGGTGAGCGCGGGATCACGTGGGCGGGGGGGTGGAAGGGTGCGAGGTAGGGTGGGTGGAGATGGGTGAGTGAGTGGGTGGGTGGGTGGGTGGTGGGTGGGTGGGTGGGTGGAGTTGGTTGGTGGATGGGCGAGTGGGTGGGTAGGTGGCTGGGTTAGTGGGTCGGTGGGTGGGTGGGTGGGTGAGTGAGTGGGTGGGTTGGTGGGTGGGTGAGTGGGTGGTGGGTGGGTAAGTGGGTGGGTGGAGTTGGTTGGTGGATGGGTGGGTGAGTGGGTGGGTGAGTGGATGGGTGGGTGGGTGAGTGGGTGGGTGGGTGAGTGGGTGGGTGGGTGGGTGAGTGGGTGGGTGGGTGGGTGAGTGGGTGGGTGGGTGGGTGAGTGGGTGGGTGGGTGGGTGAGTGGGTGGGTGGGTGGGTGAGTGGGTGGGTGGGTGGGTGAGTGGGTGGGTGAGTGAGTGAGTGAGTGGGTGGGTGGATGGGAGGGTGGGTGAGTGGATGGGTGGGTGGGTGAGTGGGTGGATGGGTGGGTGAGTAGGTGGATGGGTGGGTGGGTGGATGGGTGGGTGGGTGGGTGAGTGGATGGGTGGGTGGGTGAGTGGATGGGTGGGTGGGTGAGTGGATGGGTGGGTGGGTGAGTGGATGGGTGGGTGGGTGAGTGGATGGGTGGGTGGGTGAGTGGATTGGTGGGTGGGTGTGTGGGTGGGTGGGTGAGTGGGTGGTTGGGTGGGTGTGTGTGTGAGTGAGTGAGTGGGTGAGTGAGTGAGTGGGTGGGTGGGTGAGTGAGTGAGTGGGTGGGTGGGTGAGTGAGTGGGTGGGTGGGTGGGTGGATGGGTGGGTGGCAGTGAGGGTCTCCATCAGTTGCGGGAGGGGGGGCGTGCCTGTGTAAGATACATTCAACCAGCATCCTTGGTTCCTGGGTTGAACCCCCTGGAAAGGGCATCTTAAAAAAAGTCTGGATCGTGGCAGTAGCTCCATTGCAAGCGTGGGCTTGGAGCTCTACACCCTGGGTGTAACCTTGAACTTTAAGTACCTTTGACATCCTTGGTTCGAACCCTGGGGTAGGGTGTCATTTACATGGTTGGGTTATGGAGCCAACACCTTCGCAAGCCTGAATTTGAGTCCTGCACCTGGATATCCCTCAGGACGTTAAATAAATATTTTTGATAGCCTGGGTTCAAGCCCTGGGACAGGTCATCTCTTGAAATGGCGGCTCATCGATCCAGCGCCTGGGTGTATCTTGTGGCTTGAAGCCAGTGCCTTCGGAGGGCCTGGGTTCGAGCCTTGGGACAGGCTCTCATGGCGTTGCTGCGCTGTGTCCAAATGGCCCGGCGCGTCCTCTCCCAATGACCCGTGCACACAGCTGCGGACGTGAGCGAGAGCGAGGATGACTCCGAGGAGGGCTCTGCCTACGGCTCCCTCCGCAGCTCCTCCTCCGTCCTGCGCGCCCCCTCAGTACGTAGACGCACGTACACGTCCGTCCGTCCGTCCGTCCGTCCGTCCCTCCGTCCGTCCGTCTGTGTGCGTGCGTTAATCGAGGTTGTTGGGTTAGAACGCGTAAATATAAACGTGTCGTTAAACCCGCCACCACCCGACACGGGCAATTGGTAAGGTTTGTCACGAAACACAAAACGTGCCAATTCGTTACCGGTACAGCACCCCGGTGTGTTGAAGAGTAAACCACGCGCCATGGCACAAGCGCCGTGGTTACGTCACCGCCACTTGGTGGTGAACGCCGGTTGTTATGTTATGCCTGTAACGTTGAGCCCTGGGCTGGGAACCTCTCCCTCACTGCAGTGTGGGGCCGGGGGGAGGGGGAGGAGGAGCGACAATTCCCATCGAGCCAACCAGGTGCGGAAATGTGCGATTAAAACACAAACGTGTACTGCCCCCTCCCCCCCCCCCCCCCACCCCCACGTTGCCCCCCTCCTCCCCCACTGCCCCCCCTCTTGCCCGCACAGCTGCCCGTGCTCAATATGCCCACGGGCCCCCTCAAGTACCGGCACCCGTCGTGCGAGAGGCTGTGCCCCCTAGCATCCCCGGCGCCCAGCCTCTCCTGCCAGCAGCTGCAGTGGGATTCGCCGCCAGCCGCCCCAGCCGGCAACGTCACCGCCACCGCCACCGCCGGCACCGCCGTGTCCCTGCGTTCCCCGGCCGCCGACCGCCGCTCGCTCGCCGTTTCCCCGACGCCGTCGTTCCTCCGCCGCTCCTGGCAGGCGCTCTTCGGCGGCCACTGTGAACTGGAGCTCGCCGGCGTAGGGGCCGGCGCCGCGGAGAACGACCGCGGCGGCGGCGACGCCGGCGGCCGCCTCGGCGACGACGAGCGGAAGCGGAAGCAGCAACAGCAGCAGCAGCAGCAGCAGCAGGGCCACGTGCGGTCGACGAGCGACGCGGAGCCGACGCCGAAGGCGGGCGCCGGGCGGACGGACGACGACGAATGCGGAGAGAGGCCGAGCGGCGCCCGCCGGAATTCCTGGCAGGGGCACGGGCCGGGGGCGGCCGCGGGGGCCGGGGTCGCCCGCGGGCGGCCGGAGATCGACGCTGCGGCGGGCGGGGGAGGCCGGAGGGTGGGCTCGCTGCCGGACCTCGCGTCGCGGCTTCCCGCGTCGCGCGACGGAGGACGCCGACCGTGCGCCGCCGCCGCGGCCGCGTCGCCGGTCGGGCACGAAGGTGAGCTGAGCCCCGGGCGGGCGTGAGTGGCGCCGCGATGGAGTGGCACGGCGAGAGGAGGTTCGGAGGGGTGGGGTGGTGGAGCCCCCTGGTGAGCATTGCCTCGGTGACAGGCTCACCGCGACCCGCTCGGCAATGGACGGTCAGAATCGGGATCTTTATTTAGACTGCAGGAGGGATCCGACAAGCTCTCCGAAGCCCTTTTCCGCAGGCGTCCAGCGCGAGTGGGTCGGCAAGCTACAACGGCATGAAAGGTGTTCCAGCCCTGCGATTGGAACGGCTGGTTGTGCCCACTCTGTGCTCCACCGCACGTGAGCTGACGAGCGGGTAGCCCGGTGCCGGTAGCTCGTTCGCCGCCCGTGGCAAATTCCTCGCGGAAAACTCGGCAGCAGGGCCCCAGGAGCAGAATCTCGAGGATTTCCTCGGCGAGGCTGCGCGGAAAACGGCACCGGAGTCGAACCCAGGGCCCCCCCTCCCTCCCCCTCTCGCTGCGGTCCCCGCCGGTACTCGTGCCACGGTGGCTAGGAGATGTTAGCTACCTCGCCTGGTATACGGGAGGTCGTGGGTTTGACCCCAACTCCCCCCGACGCCTGTTGTATATTTCGAGTTTGCATGCTCTCTCTTCCCGTGGTAGCGTCGACTTTCTCCGGGTCCCCTGGTTTTCCCCTCCACATTTATTATCAACAACGCGCGTTCAGAGTATTTGGCCACTATAAATTTCCATGTGATAATAAAGCACTTCCTTGAGATACCATTAGCGATAGCCAGGTCGCTTCTGAAAAAGAGCTGCGTAGCTCAGTTGGCCTTCACCGCTAAAATGAAAATGGTAAAAGAAATGTTTTCTAGTTTTCAATCAAACTTCAATCAATAATGTCGTAATGCGAGCCACTCGTAGACAGAGCGCTAGAAAGTTCCACGAAGTTCAGTGGGCCTTACCCGACCCACCCCCCGCCCCGTCCCCCCCTCCCGCCCCCATCCACCCCCCCCCCCCCCCTCCGCCGCGTGCCCCCCACCAGTGGCGGGCGACGACAGCTGGGATGAGCTGTACCACTCGCTGTCGCGGGCGCGACTCTTCCCGCACGGCGCCGAGCGCAAGGAGCGGAGCGCCAGCCAGCTGCGGCAGTCCTTCACTCGCCGCTGCCGCAACCCCGACATCAACCAGAGGCTGCTGAAGCTGCAGGCGCTGCACCGCACGCTGCAGGTCAGGGGGGGGGGTGGCCCGCATCCCGTGCCCGCGTCCCACATCAAGCGTCTCATGCTCGCATCCTGTGCCCCCGCGTTCCGTGTCCCCCGTGCCCACGTCCCGTGCCCACGTCCCGTGCCCACGTCCTGTGCCTGCTCGTCAATCAAATCGCGGGGCTTTGCCAGCCGATGCCGTGAGCCGGATTTTATGTTGGGCCGGGTCGGCGGTTGGCAACTTTGCGGCACCATCTCGTCTTCACCACGTGGGCACTGCGGCTCTTGAGATATTGTATTGTTCGAAATAAAATGGCTCTTTTTGTTATTTTGGTTGCCAGCCCCCCTGGTTGTCGTTAAGCCCCCTCCACTGCGCGACGAGGTTGGTGCGTTCGCACACGGATGTCCTTGCTGCGTGCCGATGCGTCGCACCGGATTGTGACCGGTAAAGCGCCTCGGATTGTTGCCGTGGTGACGGCGGCCGTCGTGGTGGTCGTGTCGGTTCCTGATGCTCGTGCGGTGGTGCTGACGCTTGTGGTTGTGGGTGGCGGTGGGCGGTGGTGGCGGTAATGGTGGCGTTTGTGATGGTGGCGGTGATGCTCGCGGTTGAGATTGACTGTGGCGGTCGTTGCGTCCGCTGCTGCCGCTGCTCCCGCTGCTCCCGCTGCTCCCGCTGCTCCCGCTGCTCCCGCTGCTCCTGCTGCTCCTGCTGCCGCTGCTGCCGCTGCTCCCGCTGCTCCCGCTGCTCCTGCTGCTCCTACTGCTCCTGCTCCCGCTGCTCCCGCTGCTCCTGCTGCGGCGTCGGCGCAGGCCCGGGAGGCGGAGCTGCGCACGATCGAGACGCTGCTGAGCGCCGGCGCGGAGATGAGCGCCGACGGCTTCCGCGAGTGGAAGGAGCAGCACGGGGAGCACATCCTGTCGCCGGAGCCCGCCGAGACGGCCGACTGGCTCCGCGTCATCGAGGGCCAGACGCAGCCTGCCTCCTCCGGGCCTTCACGGACCATCACCGAGACGGAAATCTAGACATCTAGACTGCCCCGTCGGCCGCGTGCCGAGCGCCACCCGCGAGCGCCCTCCCGTCCGATGCTGCGGTTTTTGCGACACGTGTGCGTGTATATATTTGTTTGTCCGTGCGTACGCGTCGTACCGCGCAGGGACAGCTTCTACTGGGAGGAGGGGGGAGAGAGGGGCGGTCGGATAAGTGGCGTTGTGCTGTATGACTAGAACCCTCTCCTCGAAGCGGCTCGGCGGATGTGCGGCATCCAGGTGAATAACGGACAATGCCCCCCCCCCGTAATGTGCCCATTTGGAGTCTGGACATCTTAAACACCTCCCGTATTTTATGCTGGGAAAAAGGGTCGAGCCTCTTTTTTTTTAGTTTTTTCAATTTTTAAATGAAAGTCGCGAACAACTCAGTCCGTCCGGTGTTCACACCTGGCCCTGTTTGCCGCACGGGGCTCTCGCAAAAGCAGGCCGCTGCCGTGCTTCCGCACCTCCCAATAGCACGGTTGGTTGGCCATGTACGGTGTGAAAGAAGTCCAACCTACGTACGTACGTTTAACAGACGTAGGCTGCAGTAGCGGAGGGGAGCGATGCTGCTGCTGCTGCTGCTGCCGCTGCTGCCGCGTGTGTGCGGTCCCGGTGGAGTCATTTGCAGTGTCATCTTTTTTTTTTGGTGGGGGGGGGGGGGGGGAAGCATTTGCCAAATTTGGACCGTGACGCCGGGACACTCGACGAATGACGTAGCGCGACCTTTAGCGTCCGTCTGTACGGCAACACACACACACACACACCGCGTGGTTAACCGGGGGCGGCCCGCCGGATTCGAGCCTCGTCACCGCCGCCACCAGCAACGATCGAGGAGCGGCGGAACTCCCGGACTCGACGCGGCGACGTCGCTGGCGCGGCGACGCGCGACGGATGCCGTTGTCCGTCTCAAATCACGGACTGGGCGGTGGGGTGGAGGGGTGGGGGGGGGACGATGACGACGACGATGACGACGACGATGACGACGACGTTGACGACGATAACATGACGACGACGTTGACGACGACGATGACGATGACGACGACGATGACGACGACGATGACGACGACGATGACGACGACGACGACGTTGACGACGACGTTGACGACGATGACGACGACGATGACGACGACGATGATGACGATAACGACGATGACGACGATGACGACGATGACGACGCACCACTGCCGGCGCCGCTCTACGATGACTGGCGACGTCGTCTCAAGGCGACGTCGCCTCGCCGCTGTGGGCTGAAGGAAGGGTGGGGGGGGGGACAGCTCCCGAGCTGTTGTTGCTGTGAAGCCTTTTGAAAATGTTTTTATTGTATTATTAATATTTACCATTGGATCTTCCGTATTCAGGTCGACGTCGCCACTGATAAATTCAAGCCTCGTGCACGATGTACCGTTGTTTTTGTTTTGTTTATTTTTTTGTTCTTTGGAGAGACTGCACTGATATGTTTTTTTTTGCTGTTTGCGTGCCGAGGTTTTTTTGATGCGCGTTGGTGACTTGGTCCCCCGCCTCCAAGAAGTCGTTCTTAGAACGTAAAAAAAAAAATAAGGCTCCATCCATCTCGACGATGTCGTGGCAAATGTTTTATTACAATTTTTTTTTCAATCCCCCCATTGATTTTATCGCCAATTGTGCTGTCGGCACCGCGCCACGTGACAAAGAAAACATTCGGACCTCTCTCGCGGGGCCGTGTTCGAGAACGGGGCCCCGCTGAAGCGGATGTCAAGGAGCTACCTCTCGATGTCCCTTCAAGTCGACGTCTGGTCCGTGCAGCAGAGGGCAGCACCTTCCAACTGTGCCACTGAGCAGTGAAATGTTCACCACACGATGGTCAAACCGATATTTAGGTTATTTGTGTATATACATTTTTTTAGAGCTGCCATTTACCAAGTGTTACTATTGTAACGAAAATTCTATTCGGTTGATTTTATTTCTCGTGCCCTCATCGGTGACCAGGCTAAAAGGCTGCCATTGGCTCGCTACGCCCGACCGCGGCCGACCGCCTGGGGTTCAAACCCAGAATCCCGGCGGGTAAAGGCGGCTCGGCGCTCTGACCTCTGACCTCCGATCCACCCGGCCGCCTCTCTTCCACTGGACAAATCTCACCGTGCACTCTACAAACGCACGCAGCGCCCTTGCAGGACCTGCGGGCATGGCCGTCCCTCTCACCTTAGGTGCTCAATCGTGCTGCAATAAGGTCCAAGCGTCTTCCACTTGAGGAGGAGTGCAGAATGTCACGCTGTTCTTTCGAAATCCGCGGGTGGGTGACGTAACGAACCTCTCCGTGGGTTTTATTTATGAAATGTCGTGTTGCTCCGAAACGTTTCCGCCCCCCCCCCCCCCCCCCCCAGCAGCTGATGAATCTCGTGAAGCCAATGAAGACGAGAATCCTGCTCGATGCTTCGGCCCCGTGGGGTTGCGGGGAGGGGCGGGTGAGGGGGACAATCTGTTTCGTAAAAAAAGATTTGGTCGTCATCACCGCCCGCGAGCTCTCAACTGGTCCTTGAATAAAGGGGTTTAACTGTGCGATCGGCGTGTGTAATCTCAATGGCAAACTCGTGGATTAGAGCCGAGGCAGGGCCGTTACTTTGTAAGCTGAAGGTGCAGCCCCACACACATTGCTCACGCAGCTACTCGTGAAAGTAGAAGGAGCTGTACCCCCCCCCTCCCGGCGTTATTTGGCCCACTCTTACACGCTGGCCCTGACGTCCGTCTCGGAAGAGCTGGGAGTACCCACGATTTACCCCGCCACTGGAAACTATCCACAGCCATTTATGTTTGGGCGTTGACACGGCCCTGTCGAAGCGCATCAGCCGCTCGTTGCAGAAGTTCGCCGTTCGACTGTCCTGGTGAATACCCGTCACGGTGGACGTTAAAGATACCACGACGTTCAGTTCAGTTTATTTTGGTATAGCCCTGTGAGCCATTCGGCTCTTGAATCGGATGCGACGTCATTTGCAGAAGAGGAGGCCGCTGTGTGATGGCGTCGTGGTCGAAATTTGTAAGAAAAAAAATACCACAAACCACTTGTATATATACTCTTTGGTTCTATTGGGTAAAGTCACGTAGGTGAAAATAAAATAACAAAAAATCACGACGTTTCGGCCACAACACAAGTGGCCTTCATCAGGTGAAGGGACGAGACTGTCTGGTAGGACAGCGCTGGAGTGTCCTCCAGACAGTCTCGTCCCTTCAGCTGATGAAGGCCGCTTGTGTTGTGGCCGAAACGTCGTGATTTTTTGTTATTTTATTTTCACCTACGTGACTTTACCCAATAGAACCAAAGAGTATGGATCCTATCAGTCACGAAAGCTTTAAATCTACACTTGTATATATGTATGTTGAACTTCTTCTTTCGTACCGTACGCAACCAACCGTGCTAATCGTAGGTTGCGGGGGAAGGAGAGCAAACTAAAAAAAAAAGTCAAAGCAGCTCTGAAGAAATTCGCTGTCAACGCTGATGACGTGAAAGGGCACAGCTCCAGTGGCTTCCTAATATCGGAAGGGCAGAGCGTGCCAGACGGCCGCAGAAGCGCGCCACGGCGCGGCCGTCTTTGTTCGACGGCCGAGCCGAAAGCCGCCGATTTTCCTCCGGCTCACTCCGATTAGCAAAGGGGGTTGGCTGCGTGTACGGTGCGAGAGAAGTTCAACGCACGCACGAGTGTAGAAACATAACAAATGTCGCCCCCCCCCTCCTCCCCAGACTGCAAGCAGCAACAACAAAAACCTTGGCTGGGAGGTCCTCCTGAAAAAAAACGTCCGTTCCTCAGGCTTTCCTGGTTTACACAAGCGTGTTAATAATAATAATCATCATCATCACCATACAGCTCGGGTAGGCAGGGAAGGCGCGGGTTTGATTTCAACACACATCGGGGGGGGGTGTGTGGTTTTTTTTCTAGCGTTTTGCCGGGTCGCGCGGATTCGCCGCTCCCGCGAGGCCCGAGAGCGCAGCGTCTGGCGCGTCTGTGAGACGCGCGAGAACTTTCGCGAGCCTTGTCGGGTTCGTTTGGCGCGGGCGCAAATGGGATTCCGATTCTGGGGGAAAAACGGCGTAACAAAATTACCGGCGCATCGAAAGACGCCGCGATTTTAAGCGAGCAGGTACAACGCTCATCCCGCACAACGCGGCCGAGCGAGCGCGAAGGGAAATCTCCGTAAAATGTAAGGAGCTCTGAATATTTAATTTGTTTATTTTTTTTTTATACAGCCAGCCCAAAGGGCCCTCCCAGCCCACAGGCCCTCCCAGCCCGTCGGCCGCACTGCGCCCATTCGCTTGCGATTATTTGGCCGCACACAAAACGGCAGAAACGTTTGAATAAAAGCAACTACTACTTTCTGTTTTGTGCCATTGAGATGCTAAGCAGCGGCAAATCCAGCTATTGGAGTTTTAAAACGATCTCTCGCTTTTTTGGGGGGCGGGGGGGGGGGCTGTGTGGGGGGGGGGGCGTGGGGGTGGAGAACTCTGCCAAGAAGTAGGCGGTCTGGAGTGTAAAGGGTTTGTGTTGGGATTAGGGTTAGTGAGACATATGTTCCCAAGCGGCGGCTATGAACACAGACACAAAACATCAGACTCTTCCCCCTGGGAAGCAGATGAATTCATGGCACTGCGCGGCCCACCCACGTTCTTGTGTGGTGGCGGTGGCGAATTTGTGTGTTTTTTTTCTTTTACGTGGGCGCTGGGACTGATTCTACGGGCGCTATGAGGTTGTGCCACCCTCGGGTTTTCCTTCAGTGTGGTTCGCCGGTCGTGATGTCGGGGGCGGGGGGGTGCCAGCCGGCATGTCGAGAGGATGGGTCGGCGGGGGCTGGGGACGTACAAACTGGACCGGGAACTCCCAAATTCAGTCACCCCCCCCCCCCTTCCATCTCCCCAAAAATATAATTACAAAGCAGATATGAATGTCCTATTTTTGGGAAATGTCCATGTGGAGGTATGTACGTAGTGTGTATGCGGCCACCCACCCCCTCGTGTGCCGTGATGGTCTTCATGGTGTTCGCTAACAGCACTTGCCCCAAGTCTGTTAAGGCCATAAGGAAGGAGGATGTTTGTCTGAGCGGGGAGCGGTAGTGTAGCGGTTAGCGCGCTGTGCTCCGAACCTGTCCACCCGATTTCGATTCCCGCTCACGGCTAACAGCAGTGACGATTATATGAACCGGTCTTGGGCCTCCCCTAGGTCAACTCAGCCTCAAATGATGTGTGTGTACAACATCGCCACTGGGGAGACAAAGGCGGCCGGGCGTGGTGTAAGCCACCCACTCCCTCGTGTGCCGTGATGGCCTTCATAGGTGCTCGCTAACAGCACTTGACCCAACAGCCTGTTCAGGCTGTACGGGGAGGGGGGTCTTTGTGTGTATGCGGAGGAGGCTCGTGAAGGACGCTGCTGGGCAAGTTGGAGGCAGTCGCCCTCCAACAACAACGGAGGGCAGAGGAGCGACGCTCACAACAACGAGCGGAGCGCCGGGTGACTACAACACAGTCGGGGGCACAGGTGGTGCATCGGCCAGTCATCTCAGCCAGTCAACCCATGGCACCTGGGTCTGTCCTGTGACCTGCCAGCGAGCGTTCGACACTTCACGTGGTCTTAACGTGTACACAGCCTGGCACAAGCGCCGTCACCGCCACTTAGTGGCGAATAGCGGTTGTTGTGTGTGTACGTATGTGTATATGTATGTATGTGTATGTCTTTTTGTACAAAGGCGGCCGGGCGTGGTGTTGGCCACCCACCCCCTCGTGTGCCATACCGGCCTTCATAGGTGCTCGCTAACAGCAATTGGCCCAACAGTCTGTTAAGGCTACACGGGGGATCTGTGTCTTTGTTTGTACGGCTAACAGCACAAGGTGGCAATGAATGGACTTCCTCTCGGGCGCGGCGTTCCACCCCTTGACTGCCGCTCCGTCCCTCGTCTCGACCACCGGCCACCGCGCCTCGGAGCGACGCTGGCCAGGTCCTAGCACGTCAACATTACGTCGGTAG